ATTCCTAGTAATTCTCAAAAATTTCCTGTAATGCCTTCAGACTTCCTAAAAATATCCTGCAGATTTGTATAATTCCTGTTGTTGAAGAGAACTATGTTCTAAGGTTCTTTTTTCAATTCTTGCAATAATCTGTATTTTTTCTCGTTCCGCATTATTTACCTTTTTTTTACTTCCTTATTTTTATTGTATTAAGTATTTCCGTCTCTTTTTACTTTCTATGTGAAACATGAAATGCATTAATAATATACGGGAATCATTTTTTCAGGATTTTATGCATTCATTTCGCATAGTTCACAAAATTTTCCGCTATTAGGTTAGAATTTGATTTATAGTCATTCATTTCATTTGTCACATGGTCTACCTAAGTAGCGGTAGAGCCATATCTCGAACGTGTTTAATCTTTTGGTGGTTGCTTCTGTCAAGATTAAAGATTCCATACCATAAAATGGAACAGAAACGACAGCAGAAAAGAAATCTTATTTTTGTATATTAATAAATACCGCTTTGGCTTCTTCGATGTTTGGATATGCTGTTTGTCCCCAATGTAATTGTGAAATAATTTGGAAATTTCTATCGTCTAATCCCATCTCAGATAAAATTTTCATTAATTTGTGATGCTGAACCCTATCGAAGGCCTTAGAGTTATCGATAAAACTATCAAGATCAAGATCTAGAAAAAAACATATAGTTGATTTCCTGCCTTTACTCTGTGAAGTTCGTTGATTGCGTGGACATTCACACCATTCAAGGATAGTATACCTCCACGACGAAGGGTTATCTTTAGAAGATTAAGGGGATATGTCTTCCTCTACACAGAGAAGTCCGAATTTTTATAATTAGACTTAATTGTTTGTTTCTGGCCACTCTAAATGAGGAATACGAGTTTTATCATATATTCACTCATTGCGGGCTTATACTAATCTGCACGCGTCGAAAGTGAACGTATTCAAATAAAACAGGTTCGTCTTGTATTTGCCCACTCGAAAAAATATGTGTACCGGCTGCCTAAAACCGTTTGCCAGAGCAATAAGCCTCTAAAAACTCGAAGAAAATGTGTGCCCTGGCGTTAATGTGTCAAAGGAAGAAAACGAACGGCTACTCTTTCAAATCCATTTTAGCGATGCCGCTCGAACTTCGGGAATGTCAACAATGTCAAAAAGGCATCAATTGCATGCGTTCGTTTTGCGCACCAGTCTCATGTTAATATATAAATTAAACACCGGCTAAATATTTTTTTAAATCCCTATTGATAGATAATGGCTAGATAGAGATGTCTAATAATAAAGATGTCTTACTGACGAAAAAGAAAATCATATTGTACTACCTAAATTATAAAACTCACATCACATATGAGTTGAGATATAGATTATTCAGAACACATAATTCAAAATTCATTAATATATTATGCAACAAGTGTGGTAAACGGCATTTGAGTCACGAGTTTATTTGGCACGAGCGCAGCGAGTGTTTAATAAAAGAGACTTAAAAAGTTGACCATACGTGTTAATTGTGTGACAAAATATGCTGATGACTAACAGGACAATGTTAGCTTCAGCATTCCCAGTATCTGTGAGGCGACGTTCGCATAAAAACGATATAAATATGTGAACAATGTACTTTGTAAAGAACTCTCCTTGTAACAGCTTAATGTAAAGCTCATAGCTCTGTTTATAAAACAATAAAAAGTGTTTTTAAAAACGAGACCCGTCGTTTGAAAACCTTAACTGGCGCAGTCGGTAGAATTTGGGGTAGTTTCAACCCTTAGACTCCAAAACGAACCAGTGATAGACTGTCTGACAAACCCAACGTGATTGAGCTTGCAGCTACGCTGTTATTAGTAATAGCGAATAATGATATTGAAGTTATCCCAACTAAAACACGACTTCTCCCCTTCCGCTTAGGAAATGTTCGAATAATTCAACATCAACATACATTTTTGCATTTTGTAGAAACATTTCCACTTTTTTATCAATTACGTAGTTTAGAATACACTTACGCTGTAATCTCAAAATCATTAAATAGAATAAACATAATTATCAGAATGTGTACTATATTAATGGAAATAATTTACTTAATAATGTTCGATATTTAATTACACAAGTAAAATTCAAACTTGGTAATATAAAACCTAATAACCGTACAAAAAGAGGTTTAACAAATGCTGTACGTAAATTAGCGAAATGGCTTTTTGGTACTCTCGATTTAGGGGATGGACAAAAATATGATTGAATTATCACATAACTTGTACATAGTAAACATTAACCTGTTGCATACTATACTTCTTCTGCGACCGTTAGTTTTTTGATACATTTTTGCAAAACAACACGAATAAATTCACTGATATGACCTTCAGATTTACGATAAACATAATTTCAGATATATTAAAATCTGAGAATATGGAATCAATTCTTCTCTCATCATAATTGAAAAATGCTTGTCTGGAACATATTTTTCTTGTAACAATAAATATCATCAGCAGCTATGGTTTCTCCTTTATCACCAATATATTTACGGAAGCTTTTGAGTACATCCGCGACACCTTCCATCTGAAATCAAAAATATAAAGATTTTCTTAACAAATTAAACTCTTTACACACTAAAATACGTTTTACCATTGAATTAATAACTAATCATAATTTCTAAATCATAGATTTACCCCTTACCACAAAAAAAAATCTTCGATCCAGCAAAGACAAAATTCCATTTGAGACACCAGGCGTTTACAACGTTCCGTGCATATGCGAGAAGGGATAATTGGAGACACAGGATAAAAAATATCGACTACGCTAAAAAAACATGAAAGAGCCGCTAGACTACAACAAATAAACTCATCAGCACTTGCCGAATAAAACTAAAAAAAACAAAATTCGAAAATCCATATAAATTTCCAAAGAATTTTAACTGCGACTCAACAAAATAATAATCAGTCTCCCGAAATCATTTTTATGTCTCTCCTCCAGCAGGTGTAGTCAGAGCAATTGTGCAGTTACGTCATAGAACGACATCTTTATCTAGTTCGTTACTGGATGGCGTAAATTGACATTGGAGTTTTGTGTGTCAGTTTTGGTTAGTTTGGTTATTTTTTTTAGCTAACACATACGGATCATTTTTGATTACGTCACTTTACGTGACGTAAACTGCACATCTGCTCTGACTAGACTATACACTTCTCCTGCTTTGGATGACGCCGCTGGCTCGCTGACGTTTCATCAAGCATTCTGCTGGCTTCTTCGGGGTGCTGTCTAAGACTGATTTGGTGATTGCTCTGCACGCACCTTAAATGTCAGTACGGCGAGCTTTAATTGCATCACGGATGACCGACCGAATGCGAAGGTCCGAAATTCGAATCCCAGGTAAAAACTCTTGTCGCGGTTTAAATTATTGGAGTGTTTGATTATTTCGACAGACTTGCGAATTTTTCTTGGATATAATGTCTCGCTCCCTGACATTTATACGCTGGATAACGGAAAGGGAATTAAGATTAAAATCCGACACTACTGAGTCATAGATCAAATATGATGCCTATCGAATAAAATCTGGTGTCCTGTTTTGCGACAATATTCAGAAATCACTGATGTAATTATTTTTCGAACTCTGACTGGTCTCTGGTGTTCTTTTAGTATGGTTGATATTTTTTGACCTGTTTCCCAGATGTATTCTTTGCCATCGCTGCACGGTATGCTGTTTCGAGAGGAATTTTTTCTTTTACCCATCGTCGATGTTGACAGCTTTAAGTACAAATAGGGAATCTAGTTTTAATGTTATAGTTTTCAGAATTTTTCATATTTGATCAATGACATTTTGAACATATGAAAGTATTACAATGATAAACCGTGGGAGGGGGGGGGGGGTCATTTACGGAGTTATTTTGTGTGAGTAGTTTCGGTGAGGTGTATTTTTCATTGTCCACCTGATATCTTGATAACGCAAATTGAGATAAGAACTGAGGTGAGACCTGTGTTAATTTCTGGTTAAGCGATTCTGACTGAGACAGAGATATTGCTCTGAAAACTAAGGAATTGATCACAAAGGCTTCTTGGTCTGGATGGTGATGCGATAATGCCATTTAAGCATCGATCCGTATGAGTCGGTTTTCGTTTTTGTGAAATTGATGTTTGTGTATATGAAGTTTAGATAGTTCAGAAATGTTTGAAAAGATTCCTTACCGTGGGCACAGTTTTGGTTTACGATGGAATCGCGACACAGGATTCTACCGTTATTCTAAAGCTCCTTCTACCATTCGACCCTCCCCGGCAGGTATTTAAGGTGCGGGTAGAGCAATCATCAAATCAGTTTCAAACAGGGCTTTGTCAGCAACATATTTGGCGAAACCTGAACGAGACAGATCAACCCCTGACACAGAATAAATCCTGAAGATGTGTAACTACAAGTTCTACAGACTGCGGAAATTTCTTTTAATAGAAAAAAATTAGAACCAGTTTCAGTTAAGCTCTGGAGAAGCTAGCAGGATGATAAGCTGAACGTCGGCAAGTTTGACTTATCAATTGGTGAAACGGTTTGTAAATAGTATTTAAACTACTCAATCTACTAAATATGACGGAAAATCCAGTTCCGTTACAAATCCGATATCGCATAAGCCTTTTGTGCCGTAACTTCAGTATTCGACTCCCGCATACGTTTGCCATTGTAATTTTTGCGAACTGAAATGGAAATCGGCTGATATCTTCCGAACGCCCGTACAAGTGTGAAAATATCGGCTGGTACTTTATCCTCGGCCGTAAAACCGCGATGAACATTTTACGTTGAAAGTGACGTAAAAATCCTTAACGACAAGGACATTTCGAGGTTGTCGCCGTAGGATTTAAAACCTTCCGAGTGCTCGTCGAGTACTTGTGAAATAGATTCCGGCGATGCATTTTGGTATAATCTGTTCATTAGTAGGAGAGAGTAGTGAAAAATAAATAAAAATAAAAATTCTATCACTCTTCCTTTTAAACGAATAGGCTGTACAGTGTCAAAGAACTCTTTTTCTTTTTCAGAAATCCCCGAGCCCATATATCTGACTGCTATACCCTACAGCAACTCGTATATTTACTTCACCCAGTGCACAGTGACATGGTCTAATGAAACAGACACGGCCTTCATGATAGTCAAAATGATCTTCTTCTACGTGTTGCCGCTATCGCTTATGTCTTTAGCGTACATGCAGATCATCAGGGTGCTATGGAGATCGGGTAACGCACCTCACCAAGCTATGAGTAAGTAAATTCACCGAAGACTCCGGAATCGAATTTTGCAAAAACCCAATATGTGCCATAGATAGGAAATCAGTTGGAAGATTTTTTTCTTTCCAAATTTCACTGTATTACTAGATCTTCAATCATGATAAATAAAAAGATCTTATAGATATGAGTACTACTAGATAAATTAGATAAACTAGACTTACATAAATGAACCTATATTAGATACATCTTTTGGTTTTAATGATGATTTAATGATTTAATGGTGACCCGTATGGGTGTTGGTATCGACTGTTTTGTGGCTAGTTCCACCAACTGCGTCACTATTGAAATAATGAAAATGAAATATTTTTCAAATATTAGAGATAAATGTAAGAAAGTGATATGATTGAAATTTAAGAAATTATTTAAGCTATTGCCAAATCTAATGCAGGCCTTAATACAATAAACAATATTACAATAAACCCAACTGCTGTTCTTCAAGAGATTGAGGATCATCACTTCGCAGTGTCAACCTTATGTCATTACATAAAAATTCTTGGTTTTGGTATCGTATCGATATTCATGAAATGGACAACAATTTTTGTGCTGTTGGCTGATTAAAGAGATTTGTGGCGTTAAATTTCAAAAATTAAGTTAAGGGAAGTTCATATTTTTCAAAAAAATCTCTTGAGTATTTATTTTATCTTAATCTTGCGTTATGCGAAGGCTTCTTCTCCAAATCCGAAATAAGCAAGTTTTTTTAATAAGAGTTAATTATTCAACGTATCGAAAGCCCTAGCATAATCTAGTAAAACTAAATGTTCGATTATTTATTATCTTGTGCTTCAAAATGTGGTAAGTAATGCTTAAAGGTAACGTCGTGCTATAGCGCCACCTAATGCCAGATTGCATGTAGTCCACTCTCAAATCTATAACATATGTGCTAAATGGTTTCTAAAGCTTTCTTATTTTCGAGAATTCTATAAAGAAAGCTTCCTGAAACCGATCTCTAAAGCCGGTGAGAAATCTCAAATAGCGAATTACCGACCTACAAGCATTTAAGAGCTGACACGCTCGTTGAACAAAAATTAATGAATGGGTAGTTTCGATTCGGTCCTGGTAAATCTACAACGTCAAATCTTGTAACTCACACGGACTACGTGCTGGATACTTTGGAAAAGGAATACTATTTACACTGATTTTCCCACACCATCGTATTGCACAAGCTTAAGTTATTCTAACGAAGAAGATTGTTAAAATTGGTATTTTTCATACATGTGACATCTCTCCAGAACATTTTTAAGTAACCTTTTAAATTTCTTTATGTTTGACATTTACGAATATTTTACCAATTATCGTTTTCTGCTGTTTACTGACTACCTCAAAATGAGCTGTATAAATAGATCACCTAACTAAAACTAACCAAAACTTACAATATGATCTGAATAACGTTATTAACTGGTGTTATAAAAATTTCATGGATCCGAACCCTACTAAATGTAAAGTCATGACCTTTTCTAGTTCTAGAGTTTCTATTAAATTTAATTATAAAATTGGTCCACACTTCCTTGACCAAGTTTCCCTTATCAAGGACTTTGGACTCTCGTTTTCATTTTTCTGGTCACTTAAACAATGTTTTTCCGATGCTTGGAACATTAGAACAAGTATACTTCACCAATATTTCAGCTTTAAGTACCTTATATTGCGCCCTAGTACGCCCCCTGAAGTATGCTTTTTAAGTCTGGTGCCCCTTTCATGGTGCTCACAGGGGTTCTCTTCAGACGAAAGCTTCACGTTATCTAAATTTTAAATCTAATCATCCCCTAGCCGAAAAAAAATCCGTCACAATAAGTCTGCCAGACAGAGCAATAATGTTATCCGATCCAGAATATCGACCAGATGCTATTGAAAAAGTAAAATACGCACTTCTGAAAAATAATTATCCCACCAACAAATTTGATAATAACGTAAACAAAAACCAACGTCAAAATCCTCAAAGCACACCATATGTGTCTGGGTTTTGAAACCATTTTCAAGGAACACAAAATTCAAATAGGAAACAAGAGTAAGTAAGTAATTAAACTAAGTAAAATGGTATATGAAAATTCCATAACCTAATTGCGACAGTTTGCATATAAGACAAATAGGGCACACATTTTTTTTCAAAAGGTTAAAATCTTACTAACAGAACACGAAAAAAACAGAACTTTATGAAAGTATAGAAATCCAAAAAACCAAAAAATCAATTAATTATACAACCGATTCTAAAGATCAAAATAAATAAGAACTAAAAGTTCAGATTTTCACGAAATTATATATTTTTACATGTAAACATATATAATTTCGTGAAAATCTGAACTTTTAGTTCTTATTTATTTTGATAAATGGATTTTCATCAAGCAAAAGCCACCTCAGTTCAAGAATCTAAAGGTCTTAACAAAATATATCACTCAATTTTAATATAATAAAATTAAATCATCCACCACATATGTAGCCGATAGGTATTTAAAAAAAAATTATCTTAATGATGAAATGGTCTGATCTTGATTTGGACTTTTTCTTATGAAGAGCATCATTATTTATAGACATATAAATAATAATGCTCTTCCTATGAAGAAGTCTGAATCAGGGTCAGATCTGTCAAATTATGGACCTGTGAGAGTTAACTTTTACTGTTTGTAGGTAGCAGACGCTAGACAAGTACTTTAGGAGTATGCTAGAAATGGATATTTTTTTCCTATTCACCATTCAAAGTGATTTTTCTTGTGGGAAAGAACTGGCTACTCTTGCTCATAATATAATTAGGTTTCTTGATAAATCACTACAGTGCATACGAAGCTATTAGATTTCCAAAAAGCTTTTCACGTATTACACCGTGATCATAGCCCATAGCTGATAGAGTCCAGTGTGTCAGAGTCTGCAACGTATTATCTAATGAGGTATCTGTAACTTCAGGGCAGTGTTGTTGTTAGCTTTTGCTTTTCCTGTTGTTAATTAATTAAATAGTTTGTATCTTTGACCGTCCGTTTGTTTGCCGATGACTGTATCATTTACAGAACCATAATTCCGATAGAGAACAACAATTTTGCAAAGAGATTTACAGGCTATTGAAAACTGGGTAGCGTTTAATAAAATTAGTTCTAAATGGCAATAAAAGTCACTTAATAGTTTTTGCCAACAGAAAGACCAAATTTTATTACAAAATAAATGATAATCAACAAACTTGTATTGAGGGCATCACCTTAATAAACTTTTATAAGAAATTTAAAATGCAATTGACAAGGAGCTAGACCTAAATCATGAAATCGAAATGGTCCAACGTAAAGCCGCGAGGTGGATCTTCCTCACCTTTTGGAGAACTTTCAGTCCTACCTACTGTGAGCGATTTATAGATTAGAGTATTAAAGTGTGTGTGCACAAAATTCGTAGTGGAGTTCGATATTTTTCTGAGATATGACATTCAGTAGTCCATACATCGCTAGAGGGGACCATTCATATAAAATAAAATTACTTGTTTTTAGATCAAATGAGGTTGGTGTCAGAACCGAGAATGCTCTTCCCAATAATTACTTTATAGATGGTTTTCCTACCCTAGTCCGTTTCAAATCTTGAATTAAATTGTATCAAAATTGTTCTAATTTGTAGTAATTGTAAAATGTGAATTGCTGATTTGCTACTTGCTTTGCTCAAGTTTTATGTCTCCAGACCATACGAGTTTCCTACCCTGACAGTTAGTTGTTGATCTTAAAGTTTCGTAGCAGATTCGAAGAGAGTGACGTGCTCTCTTTCTGGGGGCATTTTGTCAACAACGATGCTCTAAATAGATTACGAGGATAAAGCTCGCGGCCATGCACTATTTAAACAAAGGATCGAAAGGAAAACTTTTGTTCAAATCTAGGGACCTTTTATTGCGGAAAAGAATAAAATCTACGGAAAATTATTCATGTCATACGTAGCCGAAGCTTTTCTAGTGAAGGGCTTTGAACCTTTCGTAACGAAGTCGCCATTTAAAATTGACGAATTAACGAATCAAACATTAGTTTCGAAGTTTCTTCGTAGGTGGGTTGTCGGATCCTAGAAGAAATGTAATTCTACTATATTGTATCTTTAAAATTATCATTGTTCATATACAGGATTTTCAAAGGTAATTCTTACTTTTATAAATTAAGGGGAGGGGATTAAATTAGACTACCTTCATCATTCTTAACTGCATTTAAAAAAAACTTAGGCTATGACATGAAAAAAAAATTAGATAACCCGTCTATCTATTTTTTTTCGATGTCATTGCCTAAGTTTTTTTTTAAATGCAGTTACAAACTTTTTGTCTCCTGAACTATTTTCCTAAAATGTAGGGATTCCCAACACAAAAATAAAAATAAAATAAAATGTAAAGCGGAAAATACATTTTAGTGAAATCATTTAGTTGACTGCTGTTAAACAGTTTTATTTTCCACCAAAATTAGAAACTAACTTTAAAACAATCGTATTTAAAAAATACATTAACAAACTAACCAGGGCCCATTAAAGCATTTTATTTAAACAATGTAAATAAAATCTTACTATCATACTTATTACTGAAACCCTAATACGCTGGAATATGCTTGGATTATTTATGACATTAAGGACACAATTATACGATTTCATAAATCTTTGATACGCTATGTTGGAGTGGTGTAAACTAATTCTTTTATATATCCCCAAATATAATAATCCATGCCATTCACCTCTTCCTATGCAGCGGAAATGTGCTTGCAAAATTAGGGGGGTTGAATCATCATTTATATATTTTCTTAGTCTTCTTTACATCGGTAACGGATATAGTTTGTTTGAATTTATTTACTAACTAATGAACTGAACTTCTGCTTAATGGAATGCGTACTTTTCTTGAAACTTTTCACAAACGTTTTAAAGGGGTTTATTTTTTAACAAATGACCTAATTCTCTTTATAGACACCGAAAATAGGGCTCACCAATTAATCTTAAAGGCAGAAAATGTGGCCCAATCAAATTTTAGTCGATAAGCCCTAATCAAACTT